AATGCACTGATTGATCCTTAAAGTATATTTAAAAATTGGACAGATACAGGCAAAAAAAAAAGAAACTAGACTACCAACTTATACCATGCAAGGTGATTTTTATTCTTCACATTCAAGTCTCCTTATGTATTTTTTAGCTTTACCCTGAGGGAAATGGTTTTTTCTTCCTGCTTGTCTTCAGGTAACATTTTATCTACAATCTACAAGTGAAGCTATTAAAAATGTTTTAAAATATATATATTTTTTAGTAGTTGAATATTTTGAGGATCTTAATTGGGATACTTTTGTTAAACAGAAAAGCAGAAAGGAAAAGATAATGATGGAATGATCTTTTCCATTTTATTAAGTGTCTTTTTCTCATAAGAACAAAGAATTTCTACTGTCTTTGTAGAATATTTCCTATATACAAGACTGTGATAGGAACATGTGACAGTTCATATTGTAAGTCATGCTTTCTTACTATGGCTTGCCCCAAGTTTGTCTCACTACTTTGTTGAAGAGAACAGTGGAAGAATGCAGTGGAACCTCGGTTCTCAAACTTAAAATTCGTCTGACAGGTTGTTTGAGAAGCGATTTGTTTGAAAACCAAATTATTTTTTCCCATTAGAAATAATGTAAATGGAATTAATTCATTCTAGACCCCCAAATGATCCCCTGTTTTAACCTTAAATACAGTAGATATCCAATGTACTGTTTAATCTATAAAAAATACTTCCTTTCTTAAATTTGTCGAACCACCCCCTACTAACCTTAAATGAATCACTTTCAGCACTCCTTCCAGGGGTGTCTTTCCGGAGGTCAGTCCGTTGCAACTTCTCTTGCTGTTACTGGATAACTCCTTTTCATTGATCTAAGTCAGCAACAGTTTTTTGTTTTTTAAATTCTTTATTGTTTAAAGTATTACATGAATCTCCTTTTTCCCCCCATTGACCTCTCCCCCATTACCCCCTCCTCCAAGCACAAGCCCTCTCCCCCTCTACTGTCTGTGTCCATTGGTGTTTGCTCATATGCATGCATTCAAGTCCTTTGGTTGATCT